CTATATTAGTATAACTTAAGTTTATAATTCTGAATATATGAGTTTGTAAATTCATTCCGTCGACAAGAAGAGGGTAACCCGTTAATATCTGCCATAATTAATGCATATGCTGTGTCAAAAGTCTTCTGGTAACATGGTAATTTTTTCTGCTTCTCGATTATATAGAGATCGATACAAGCTCCAAGCTGATTCAGCCTTTGCAAATCGACATGTGATAAAGTTATATAATTTTCATTAGAATATAATATGATTGAAGACTGTTTCACATTAACGGAATAGCTTAAGTTATCAGTTATTCTTACACGTTTACATCGGTTTCGGTAGATTATCAATATTGCTTTATACTTATTTTCACACATTAATGATTGCCATTGGTCTAGATCGAGACTTAAACTCTTTTTAGTAATCATACATTTTAATATTACAACAATCGAAATCTTTTTGTTAACTAACAAACCTACTGTTACACTTTTCTTTCCATATTGACGAATTTCAAATTCTGACCTTGAGACAATCGGTGAAATCATATTGTGGCGAGCTTATAATACTTACCGATATATTTTTGTTCGTTCTGACGATTATTTTTAAAAAAATTATACTATGATTATCAGAGTGTTAATTGTATACTGATTATATTTTATTCATACAACAACGTTTTATACTAAAAAAGTTAAATACAATTTCAAAAAAGTAAATACGTGACCTAATTGATAAGTGTGGAGGGAGGGAGCTTATTATTAATTATATATCTCGTATTATTCCTGCAAATTAAATGAAACAAACATCTGCTACCTAGATTTGAACCTTATATATTGAATTAAAAACTTCACGTCTTATCCATTAGGTCACGTATTTACAAGATATAGAATGGAATAATAACACATTTAAACTTTTTTTATAAAATACAAAATTTTATTTTAATATCGTTCATACGTTTAAGCAGTTGAGCGAGTGACATATTTAGTTTACAATTACATTAAGTTCTTCCATATTTGGTTATTATGTTTTCTACAAAGTGGTTACCTTTCGATAATAATACATAAATACATTTGGAATTATGTCTCGAGTGTTCGATCCATGGAATGTCATCTTTCTTCCAGTCATGTAATACAAGTCCGCAAGAGAAGCATTCCACAATATCTTGAACCCCTGTATATATAAAGCCGCATTCAGACCATACATATTTGTTTTGAGGTATAGTTGACGGAAATATATTATATGTTTTTAATCTTGATGTGAATGTATCATATTGCGGATATGTTGGATATGGTTGGTTTCGTATTAAAGAAACTAATGAAGAATAATTGCTGGTGGTTTTTGAAAGTTCATGTTTTTTTTTTATTTTAAGAAAAAACATTAAATTGGAAATTTTACTTAAAAATAAATGTATAAGTGAAACAAGACAATAAAATAAAAAGCATAACTTGGTTTAACAACGGATTATTCGTTACTGAAATGTATAGCTAACTTAATTTTAGTACGAGTGACTATAAAAAGTTCAGTGTCGCCAACACTTATGAGTAATACATTGATGGTAAAAACATATTTATTTTGTTTGTGTAACAAAATGATATAGACACAGTTATGTGTTGTGTACTTGTGTTGTACACAACACATAACTTTTACTTGTGTACAATTTGTGTTACACGGTGGAGCATGTAGAAATGCCCCCTTGAAATGATGAAATCTCCCTGTAAAAAAGGTGCTCAGAAGGAACATTAGGGTTTTTGAGATTATGTGTTACACGGTGGAGCATGTAGAAATGCCCCCTTGAAATGAAGAAATCTCCCTGTAAAAAAGGTGCTCAGAAAGCACAAATATATACTACTGCTTGAAAATTTAAAAGAAGGCTCCTAATATGTTGTTTCAAAGGCAGATGAAAAATATTAAAATCCTTAGTCACAATTTTTTTTTATAAGCATTTAAAGTTCAAAAATTGACAAAATATGGAAAAATCACGAAAATTAGCAAATTATTTTGAGTTAAGAATTCGTAAAAATTTTTCTTTTTAAATCTAAGATTTGAAAATCTAATACAAGATTACTCATAAGATTGTCTACCTTTATCAATAAAATAATTTCTACCGGAAAGTCAATTTAAATTTTTATGAGCGTTTGAAATTCAAATTTTTACAACATTGGATATTCACTCGATTTCTCATGTGGCAATTTCCTTTTTTTGTTGTAATTAAAAACGAATTACTGTAGATACATGAAAATTTCACTGAATGTTTATATTAGCATTTCCTATACACCCTACAATTTTGAAAATATTTTGACACTTTTTGAGCCGTTTACGGACATTTTCAGTTTTCAATTTTTTAGTTTTTTTTTTCTATAAATATCAATTAAGTTTTATCTGTTGGGCCAAAAAGTGTAAAAATTTAATACAAGGCTCCTGATATATTGTTACAATATCAGTTGAAAAATATTAAAAATACATAGGCACAATTTTTTTTTATAAGCATTTTAACATCGAATTTTGATAGAATTTTTCAAAATCTCGAAAATTATTAATCATCGTAATTAATAAATTATAAAATGTTCAGTTTTTATATCTAAGGATTGAAAATTTAAAACAAGATTCCACGTAAGTAGTTAATTCTCTTACCGAAAAATCTAAAAAATATACAATCACAGTTTACTTTTATAGTCATTTTATGTTCAAATTTGGACGAAATTACATATTAAAAAACCTAGTTATTTTGTTGTGATTATATAATATTATTCGTGGGTACCTACTTGAAACTTCTAAAGTGTACTATTATATATATATGATAGTATCAGGGTTTGTTATTGATGTTGATGTATAACGTGTTATAATGGATATATGGATAAATGGATATTGTGATATGATTAATTTGGAATTTATTTTAGGTCAATTTTTTTTTAATACCATAGATATGTATATAATTTGTCTTAAACCTAGACTGATATACCGTCTTCGCTCAGAATCGTTTTTCTTATACAATGATATTGAATCATTGAATTCAAATTTAATAGCATCCATTATACAGTGACCCACTTGTAACCTACTGTACAGCAGAGCGACATCCACTTACCCACCTTTTTTTTTTTCTACGTTTATATTTTTTAACTTTTATTGAACTGTCCGCAGAACTAGTTTCAATATCTGAACTATCGGATTCTGTCATATATATATCTAAACATTAGGTACATATATAATATATATAAACTATATTTATTAATTTACTTATTCAATTAATATATTCTGTCCGCGTATGTAATTACCAATAGTATTTATCCTACATGTATCTACTATTATTATTTATAAACGATTAATACGTAACTATCATCACCAAAATTAATTATACATATATATAATTACTTACAAAATAAACAACATGCAACATAATTATTCATAAAATAAATTGCGTAAACTCGCGTTGTACGTCGAAAATGGATGAGTACCTACCTAATAACACGTAAAACGTTCAATCGCCTATGCTACGCGTGTTAAATGTCGATACGATTTATCTCCTCACCAGTTCCGCTCACCATGTTCCGCGATGTTTCATGCGTACGCGCTTGTACTGTGTACCTACTAACCTAACACACGCCCGTTGCTATACAACGCATGTATTTTACGTAAATTATTACGCGCCTAGGTTCGCCGTGATCTTTTTACGAGTAACGCGTTTGAATATTATTAAACTATTACTGGGTAGGTAAGCCAGCAATCTTATAACAAGATTCAACTACCTTTTCTTATATAATTCTATAAATTAATTTATTATTCTTTTTTTTTTAAAGATTTAATTTTCTAATTACGCGCTTTTTTAACCATTTAATTTCAAACCCAAAAAAAAATTAACTGTTCATTAATCATTACAATTATTCTATCCAGTGGCGTAGCCATGATTATGAAATGGGGGTGTTTAAGTATAGTTTAAAACCAAGTTTTTACAGTTTTTGTATATAAATAAATTTAGGGTTCGTAACTTGACTTGTTGCACTAAATATTATCGAAATATGATGCAGTCAAAGTTGTCAAAATATTCTTAAATATATACTACATATTCTTTAATATAAACATACTACAATTTTGGTAATAAAAACTAAAAAATAGTAGGTACCTATATAATTATTTATACACGGGCTTACTAATTTTAATATAGGTAGGTACCTATATTGAATTATTGTTATGGACGGAGTACACTATTGTATGTTTTGTACATTTTTAAACTATTGTGAAATAAATCAACTTGATTTTTAAAAATACTGGAATAAAATACTAGGTTAATAAATATGTAATAAAGAATAACGTGATATGCGAACACCGTAATAAACGAACACGTATATCTACTGATTTTCATTTCTTCGTACAATCTAGAATGTAGATGTCAATTATAGTTTTAACACAGTCTTGTTATAAAGAGACTTATAAAATCTTACATACCTACCATATTACCATAACTATACGAAAATATAGCAAACCGTTTAGCCAAGCTCCACCAACAACTTTAACAGCCCTCCCAATCATTTACTAAATTTTTTTAATTCAATTTTATAATAGTATGGTTTTAGGCTTCGGCCTCCCCAAATATCAAAATTAGAGCCTATTGTACCTCACCAAACATAATATTTTTAAAGATATTTTTCAATGTTATCCAAATATGATTTTTCCCGACAATTTTATGTATCTGCATTTAAGTTAGAAAAATGCAAAATATGAATAAATATGCGAAAAATCGCTCAAATGAACACTTTTAGTAAAATATGCAAATTCAAACTTTGTTTGATTAGACATTTAAAAAATTTAAATTTTATAACTTATCTAAAATAATGCGAGGAGTCCTAAACCCTATAAACAATATTTTTATTAGGGAGGAAAATGTCAATGGGGGGTGTTTAAACACCCAAAACCCCCCCTGGCTACGCCACTGATTCTATCAACTTATTCGTAGTAATATTATACTAAATCTTATCCCAGGGCCCCTATAATTAATTCTTTTTTTTTCAAACAATTTTCAAAATTTGACGTCAATTACTTTTATTCCATAAGGTCATCTACTGCCTTTTAATTCAAAATCTATTTTCATCAATACCTATATCATTTAATTTCTTTCAACAATTATCTATCATTCTATATTTCAATTCATAAATTCAATATTTCACTCTAATCAATTATTCCCATATATAATTCAAAATGTTACGGACGTGCATCAATTTCCAAGATCAGCCTATCGCCGTCTACTTTAATTCATTAGATCAGTCCCTGCTGTCTATTACCATAAAATATTTAGGTCAGTTCCTGCTGCCTATCACAAAAAATCTTAGATTGGTCTACTTACCATAAAAATCCTAGATCAGTCTACAGCTGTCTATTACAAAATACGTATATAGTTCTTATCAAGCTTGTTTCCTATTTTTTTTATTTTATTTATTCAAATATATTTTTTTTCTAATATTTTACACCTCCACCCAGAAATAAAATAAACGCTGATCAGGGAACAAATTCTGTGCTCACTTAGAATATCATACTAACAACCAGAATAAATATGCAAACGCACACAAATCTGTGTTCTACTCATAATAAAATGTAAATAAAAAACAGTAAAACTTAGTTAAAGTTAAAAAGTTGAAAAAAACATATTAATCATAAGATTTAGTTTAAGGTTCTGTTACATAAAAACCAAAAATATTTTTAAATGTTTCTTTTATTTCTTCTTTCTGAAATTCTGACTAAGAATTTCATGTTTAGTTTTCACAAATAACTGTTGCAAGTATAACATTAAATTACAACACATTAGTCATATATGTATTTCTAAATTTTACATTACAATTAAACTATAAATACGACAAATATGAAAAGTATGATAGTATAATTTATTTAGAATTTAAATACATTATTTTTTTATTATAAAATTAAAAAATAAAATTATCTTATAATGATAATTAATAGTACATTGACAAATAATTGTATTCACTAATACAATTCAGATTGGAACTGAAGGTAATTGGTGTTCGCTTAGCTTTCTTGCAAAGAAGTTTGTATTTCCTTGTTGAGAAGTAAGTTCCATGAGTGGGAAGCCTTTAATTTATATATTTAATTAAATTTGATTTTTAATATTACAATGATTAGTAAATTTATCTACTGTAGGACATCCCAAATCGTTTAACAGCTTGAGGTGGCTTTTGATCCAATTGTTTAGAATAAAACACAGGTTTTTATGTGTGTTAACTCTAAAAACATTAAAATAATAAAATATCTGTTACAATGTATTAGTAGGTGTTATAGGAAAGTAAATATTTAAATGTTTGAACAGAGAAGTTTTAATTAAGATTTAATTTTAATATTAAGAGGATGACACACCCGTATGTGGTGACTCAGTCT